GGATAAATCTGGATAAAGTCTGTAAAACTCTGGATAAGTCTGGTTATTGTCTGGAAATGTCTGGAAATCTGTGGAAACGTCTGGAAAAAACTTGGAAATTTCTGGAAAGGGTTGGAAAAATTCTGAAAAATGTCCCAAGAGACCTGGGGATCATTTTCCAGAATCCGGATCAGTCTGAACAAGTCTGGATTAATCTGGATGAAGTTTGGAAAACTCTGGAAACGTCTGGAAATTTCTGGAAAGGGTCGGAAAAATTCTGCCAAAGGTCCCAAAAGACCTGGGGATCATTTGCCAGAATCCGGATCAGTCTGTACAAGTCTGGATAAGATCTGGATAAATCTGGATAAAGTCTGTAAAACTCTGGGAAACTCTGGATAAGTCTGGTTATTGTCTGTAAAAGTCTGGATGATGAAGCTACAGCTTAAACATACCAATATTTGATTGGAAAAAAACCAAAGATAACGAATCTACGATTTTTCAATCTCAAAGAGACTCTAAGTGATATTTTTAGGATACAGATTGTGGCGGACCCAGAAAATATGTTTGGGGGGAGGGGGCTACATAGGTTGTGGCTTGTGACTGAAAATCTGAAATGTGCCACATTTTTTTATACGTAAAAATAAAGTTTTGGAGGGGCGGCCTGGGGGGGGCCTTGGCCCGATGGCCCCCCTCTGGGTGCGCCACTGAAGTCTACAGAGGTTATTCCCAGTGGGCCTAATCCATGTTTTCAGGCATGCCTGAACCCGTCAACAGAGTTGCTTAACATCGAAGACTTCAGTGACCAACATACATAAAGCCAACAGATATAGAGGAAGCGTCTAATTTGTTGATCTAGATGCTGGTGGAACCCGACGAAGACAAGGAGGAAGGCATGCGCAAAAAATGATGATATTAAAAAACTTTTTCTAAGATCGAAAACATGGATTAGGCCTACTGGGGATACCATGTCAAAGAAAAAACCCGCCTCGCATTCTACTTGGAAAGTGGTGCGGAAAAGAATGTATTTTTTGTTATGCGTCTTATTTTATCAATTATTTATTTTATATTTTACTAGCTGACCCGGCGAACTTCGTACCTCCTCTGAATTATTAAATACCTATTAAATGTTGTGTTAACGTATCTATTAACTAAATTAAATTCAGTTTTTTTCGATGGTGAATTTGGCTTTGGTTGAAGAAAATTAATTTTTACTCTCTGGATCAGAAATCACCTAAAATTAAAATTTTACATCATCCCTTTTTAGGCATCTTGTGGGCATTATTCTTGTAAAGTGTACCGCCAAATAAATAAACTCAGGCACAGGAATATTCAAAAAATGTAAAGAAAACAAAAAAAATCTCCAGCGCAGCCCTGTTTTATTTTATCTGCATTGCATGCACTGCAATACTCCATCTGTTCTACTGTATCTGCACTATTCTATCTGATCTACTCTTTCTGCACCACTTTATCTGATCGGAATAGTGGAATAGTTCTGTTCGGAATAGCTCCAGTTCCATTCTGTTCTACTGTATCTGCAATGAAATTACCGCGCAACGGCGAGCTTCGTTCTAGGTATCATATATGGCACCGTATACAAAATGATTGTGGCGGACTCATAACCTGGCTCTCTGCCACTCGACACCAGCCGGACGGAGCACTCCGAACAGTCGGCACGGAACACGGCTGTCAAGGGATGCCTGAGAGGAGAAACGGAACTTAGCCACAGAACGTCAATGGTCAAGCGTCAAGAAATGACAGGGAGACCAGTTCGCGCTCTTTCGGAATGAACGAACCAATAACAAAATAAAATACACGATTAAAACATTCAAACATTGTCATTCTATTTATTTTTGGATATTTTTACTGTGAAGAACAATTAAAAATAAAGTGCTTTCCTCAAATTGTTTTTGTGCAAAGTGTGTGACAATAAAATCCACATGGTTTGTAATGAAAATGTGACGGTAAACTTGGTATCGGTTATAAGAGATGGCGCCGTATGCGGGCTTAGTGAGTTTTTTTCATAAATAAGTAAAATAGATAAATTTTTTTTTGTTTTTTTTTTGGATTTTTTCGATTTATTATGTTAGGATGGACAAACACAAATCCAATAAAGCAAAAATCATAAAAATCAGTCCAGCCGTTCTCGAGTTATAAGCGCTTCCACACCAACACTACTGTGTTTTATATACAGTGACCGCCAAAAAGTTTGCAACAAATAGGAAAATATTTTATTATTAAGATATCAAAGAGAATGTTACGTGGGATCGATTCAGCATACCCATCAACAAAAAAAAAGCGATCTGACAGATGTCATGTGACCACAGTTATGGCGGGAAATTTGAAAAGTTAGCCTTAAATATGTAAAAACAGGGGTTAGATGACCAGAAATCGAAAAATTATAGAGAGAAAAGTGGTTCAGGATTCGATTTTACGTCTATATGTGAATTTTTGAAAAGGTACAAGGATTTTTAATAAATATCAATTTTTTGGCCTGTTTTTTGGTAATTTGAAAAATATCAAAAACTTTTCGCTTGGTTCACATAATTCAAAGTGAAACTAACCAAAAAAAAAATCCAGTGCAGTCATTCAGCTCAATTGTCCCGCAGAAAATCGTAAAAACCCGAAAATTCATTTTCAAACCACTCTGATCTTGTTGCAATGACCTACAGAAAGCAAAAATTTGAAATAACAAATTTGGAATTATCATAAAATCTTTCTAAATGATCGAATACCTCTTTTCTAATTTCAATTAAACCAATATTTTTCCGAAAAGTTTTTAATATTCTCCAAATTACCAGAAAACAGACCAAAAAATTGATATTTATTAAAAATCCTTGTACCTTTTCAAAAATTGGCACATAGACGTAAAATCGAATTCTGAACCACTTTTCTCTCTACAATTTTTCGATTTCTGGTCATCTAACCCCACTTTTTACATATTTGAGGCGAACTTTTCAAATTTCCCGCCATAACTGTGGTCACATGACATCTGTCACAGTGCTTTTTTTTGTTGATAGGTATGCTGAATTGATTCCACGTAACATTCTTTTTGATATTTTAATAATAAAATATTTTCCCATTTGTTGCAAACTTTTTGGCGGTCACTGTATATAGATTATATAAATAAACAAATTTCTAACAATTTTATTATTGAAAGTTTTATTTTCCACACTAACAGATAATGAAAAATGCATTATTTGTAGTTATAGATTCGCAGTATAATACAGCATTACCCATTTTGAATGCGCGCTCCCGCTTTATCACGCTATATCTCGAAAACGGCTGGTCGTGCGAAAAAAATTTATATGAGCAATTTTGTAGAGAATACTATTTAACGTACGTTTTGTTTTGAGTTCTTCGACGTCGACGACGTCTGATGCACTGAAAGCGAGATTTTCGCGAAAAACTGATTTTCATGTCCTCTGACCTTCGATATCTCAATACGCAAGGGTAGGCATACTTAGGAGATTTTTTTTGTGCTTCATTAGAACATCAAAACGAAGGTCTCTGCAAAATTCCAATACTTTTTGGAAAGTCTCGAACGCCGTTATTAGTTGTATTCCTTTTACACCTAGGACGAGCTCCGGAGCAGCTTCGGAACGCGCTTATTGCACAGCTTATTGCTTTCGAAAAGACGTGTTTGGCTGAGTTCGGCGTTAAGCTTATGGCGATTTCCATTTGTCATCAGTGCCGCACTGAGTGTATCCGCATCTTTTTCTAAAAGCATGTAACATGAGCCGCTTTCCAGTATGCACATTGGCGCGCTCTAGAGCACCTCGGGGGCGCCACGCACTAGATTTGTACCGTTCCAGTATCATGGCGTGAGACGCCTGTCTTAGTGTCAAATATGTCAAATTTTAAAAATAATTATCTGTTTGTTTGCGCAGGTGGCGGATTCTCATCCTCTAGTCGCAACCTATCGTCCCGACTATCCCATTGCCTTTCTACGGGTGAGTCAGGACGATAGGTTGCGACTAGAGGATGGATGAGAATCCGCCACCAGTTTGTTTTTTTATTTATCAAAAATGAAAGAGAATCAAAACTATATATTTTAAAATGTTCAATCTTGAGATATAACAAGAAATAAATAGATAAATAGCCACCCACGGATGTGACAGCTGATAGGTTGACGCGTACGTACAGCTCGGGAGCTCAACGCCCCGAGTAGCTCCGGGCGTCACACTCCCACTCCCATACTGGAAAGCGGCTATGTAAGGATTATTGATACATTTTTTTTACCCTGATTCGACAAATGGAAAAAGCTATTAGTACTCATAACTGCGAAATTCGCTTTTTTTTTATATTGCTTCGACAATTTGACGTTTGATTCACGCATAAAACGTCAAATTGTCAAAGCAATGTCAAAAAAGAGCGAATTTCGCAGTTATGAGTACTAGGCTTTACACTCTGTAAACTCTGAGCGCGCTCGAAAAGATAAGATCCTGTTCGTTTTAGCTCTCAGAGTGTTCTCTTTTGCATTGGGCTTATGACCGCGTGACTTCACGATATCTATTTCATACCGTTCCGCTCCGTGGAGTGCAAAGCCGAACTCAGCCTTTGTTGCACCTGAGTGCTCAAGCCGCAAGCCAGAACTCAAACCTCAAACCTCAAACCATTAATGCACGAAATCCAGCGCATATGTGGGGCTGTATTTTCGAATATTCTCGCATACGAAATTTGATACGATTATTTCAAATCAGGGTTGACTAGCACCGAAGCCAGTAGCTCTAGGGTTCTAAACCTTGAAAGAAATACAATTATCAAGCGACGCCTCTTCTGGATTTTGCTTTTTTCTAGCGATCCCGCGTTCGGGACAAAGCATTTTTAAACGTTTTTGTTCGGTTGTGATCGGATCGCATATACACAATTTGTTACTCCATCCTGCACTAATATATCTACTAATTCTACTCTACACTTTCTGTATTATACGGAGCTCCAACAAACTCCACTCTACAGCGATTCGAAAGCGCCTAACCATAATATCCTAACATAACCTAAAAAAAAATGTACACAAAAACAAACTTGTCCTTGTCCTACTTTTTCCTCTAGTTTCTAGTTTATGTTATGAAAATGCCACGCGAATTTCTTGTTCCTATTTGAAAATATGTTTCACTAGCTTCTGTTTTTCTGTCTTTTTTTTTTAAATTAATGGCTGCGCCAGCGATATTCACAGAACAACAGGGATTTGATGGACCTGTATTAACTTTCTATCAAAGTAAGGAAAAATTCTTGTTAACCCTGGGTCGGGCGGGCGCCAATGCAAGGAACTCTCACATCAGGCGCAAGGCAGTAGGATTTACTTCAATCTCAGATTAGATCAAATGCGCCCGACATAGATTTTAGTATTATTTCAACATTGAGAACAACTCTTCTACCCTTGATTCTACCTTTTCTTATTTATCAGGCAGAAACAAACTTTCCACAGAAGGGTATAAGAAGAACTTTTCGAACAGATTTGTTGGATTCTTCAAAGAAGTTTTACTTCCCTATGGCTACCCGGAATCAGTCAGTAAAGACTATTCGACGTATCAAATATGGGACACTCTCCAAGCTTTTTGCAGTACTATTATTGGATCTTTTAAAACTCGAGCAGTGCTAACAAGCGTAGGAGTTGGCAATAGCGAAGCTAATGCTATTTCAGCTGCTACAACATGGATTTTGAAAGATGGTACTGGAATGGTTGGAAGAATTTTGTTTGCATGGTGGAAAGGGTAGGTTTGTGTCTATTTGTAAAAAACGAGAGATAATATTTTTATTTTATAGGAGCGGCTTGGACTCCGACTGTAAGAAGTGGAGATATTTTGCAGATATTCTTAATGATGCTGCTATGTTGATGGAGTTATGTTTATGCTATTATAGTTCTTGGTCGATGGAGGTTCTTTGCTTAAGTGCAACAATGTATTCAATTGTAAGTATAGTAGTATATAACTATATTACCTTTTTTATTTATTTAAATATGTGCAATGCCAGTATGATGTATTCCTGTAGGTACCTAGAAAACCTAATTTCTGTACGAACAACAATAACAATTCAATCCAACATCCCAAACACAATTAAAATAAAATCCCAGTCTGTGCCACTTGCTTTTCATTTACACACAATGTACACTTGGTCAAACATAAAACTGGTATGCATTTTCCTATTGTGTTGTATTGTGTAAATAGACCTTTTTTTATCACCTCAACAATGACAAAAAGAGTCAAATCAGTGTCATATTTAAACCAATCATAACATAAAAACATGTTGCATATACTTTTGTTCAGGTTTGACGTTGACAAAAACTTTCTGACCTTAGTTGTTCAGAACAGACTTTTTGTTGTTAAGCCTGACTCACACTGGGCAAATTTAAAAAATATATATTGCCTGTACCAGTTTTATGTTTGGCCAAGTGTACCCCATAAAGCAAGTCACTAAGTCGAGGACCAAGTGTATAAAAAACAAAATAATTTCAATGAAAGAAGAAGACTCAATAGTCAACTTATCAATATTAATTGCTATAAAGGACATACATCTTTGGTTAAAAACCTCAATAAAAACTCTTTTGTCAGTGGTCACTCTCACTGCCACTGGTAAAACATTGAATATTTCTGCACCAAGATAGTCAATGATCCAGGATATAACCTGGTAGAGTAAGACTGATTGACATGTTCTCCCATTGTGGGATTCTGATACATGTGAGTACAAACACTCAAAATGAACAATGATCCCTTTCGAGAATCCTTTCACCATAAAGTCGACATGTTGGGAACATTTTACTCTTTCTAAAGATAATTTTAAGAATATAGTTTTGGATTGTTTTTGAAGGGTTTAACATGTTTTCATATGAACTACTTCACACTTATTATGGCATATCTTAGCAAAGATTCCACAAGAGCCTTGTAAACACATATTAGAAAATGTTTCATAGTGTTGTGTTTAGTGATGTGCCGAAGGGAACGTTCCCTAGGGAACGTTCCCATTCCCAGGGAACGTTCCGGGAAGTTTCCTTTAAGGTCGGGAAAGTAAACAAAAACTGGGAATGTTTTTGAAAAAACAAAATTGAATGATATTTTATAGTCTATAACCTACTACATCAAAAAAACTAAATCATAACGATGAAGTGGGCAAACCCGAAACCCTTGGTGAAACCAGCTCTTCCAACTCACCGGACTATAGTAGTAACGAGTTAGACTCGGACAATTAGGTCCTTCCTTCTAGATTAAATAACTAGAGTGAAGCGCAACAATTAACAAGTTGTCTTTTTTTTATTAGCACTTCGAGATTTTCAGGGTTTAGTACAATATTTAGTTTTTCTTCTACTAGGTAAAAAATAAAATGTAGCTTTTATTTTTTTATTACTTAATATGTGTGTGCGTCTATTCTAGTTACAATATGTTCAATATTGCAGTACACAGTAGTAATGTACCTAGTAATGTTTAAGTTTTTTCATTGATCTCAAGAGTCAAGAGTACAAAGACATAGGTATACATTTTTTTTTTCTGTGACGGGAAAAAAGTAGACTTTTTGTACCTGTTGACAGGGGCAAAAATGTGATTTATTTTTTCCCACGGGAAAAAAGTAGCAAGTTCCAAACAATTTTTTTTCTCAAAGGGAATAATGTATAGATGGAAAATGGTAAGATTTTCGCGTCACAGAAAAAAAATAGTGTATTATATATGGGAAAAAAGTAAGATTTTAGCGCGAGGTGTGGTTTGTCTCTCAACGTTAAGCGGAGGGAGACAACACAGCGAGCACTTTTTTCCCCTGTATAATAAATAACTATTTTCAAAATTTTGTTTTTTTTTTCAATAGATGCAGGCAATTTTGTTTATTGTTTTGGTTTTTGCAAACATTCCCTCACATTCACAATTTTAGGGAACGTTCCTGGGAATGTTCCCGGGAATATTCCCAAAAAACACTTTCCCGGGAATCTGCCCATCACTAGTTGTGTTTAAATGTTGTTATGATTTCCCAATATTGTTAGTTTATCTAAATACATGTTGTTTTCCATTTAAGGCTCCAAAATATTTAATGTATTGTACCTCCTTTATTTCATATTCAAACCCATTTACTTTTATGCTTGAAATAATCCGCTTCTATTATTATTATTATTATTTTTTAATCGTTAATGTGAACTAGTATTTTGTCTAAAACTCGGGTCTAAAAGTTTAGGAAGAGTTTCTCTATCACGGAGTTTATTACTATTGTACGGCCAATAAAGCATTACTATCAGTTATTTATGTTGATGTATGATGATACAATGTATAATTGTCATAGCACGTCCTATGTCACACTACACTGAAAAATCACTTCTTTTTGTTTTGTTCAACAACTTTGCAGTATGTTCATTTATACTGTAACTCAAAGGAGCCTCCAATTTGAAATTACGTATAATATTTATAGTATTCGTTTCTCGATCATCCGATGTTCTTTGATCATAAGTGGAATTTTTTTGCCTCTAAGAAAGCCTAATGACTCAATTTTAAATAATTATATATGCAGAATTTTCAAGTTTAATCTCGAGTTTAATGTATAGAATATGTAATATATTGCATATATAGGGTGACTGGTAAGTGGACGTATCCCTTCGAGGAGATCGATTAAACATTATTCAGCTCTATACTCTATTTTTTTGCGAGGTGAATATTTAAAATGAACGAAATAATAAAGAATGTACCTAATTGACGTTAATTTCAACACCGATATTTGACAACCTTTCTTTTGCAACACAAATAGTATTAAAAACAAATCGAGTATTTTTTTCTTAATATAGGTTACTCTTACAAATAACACTCATCTATTTAATAATAGAACAAAAAACTATTTCTGAAATAATGTGCCTTATTCTGAAGACAATAAAATCGAGAACTTTTAAAATTTTAACAATAGTTTGTACGTTTGATGCACTATGAAATTTTCGAAATTTTTAGGCATAAAGTAACCATTAGTTGATAAGAAAAGTTAAGTTTATACCGGATCAATTTAATAGTTAACTTTATTGTTTCCTCGATTGTTTCAATAATAATGCTGATATTTGTGTGAGTGTGTCAGCTTATAATTTGAAAAGCGACATTTAAAAAAGCTTTTATTATTTTCCTTAATTTTATATATTCACCTCACAAAGAAGTGAATTTCTTGGAAATTGAAAAATAATAAATATCTCATAAACCGTTAAGAATGGTATAGAGGTGAATAATGTTCAATCGGCAGCAAATAGGCTCTACTTTCACCTCCTCAAAGGAATACGTCTACAAACCAGTCACCCTGTATATACAATATGTAATGTATTGATTTAAAAAATACATTGGCGTCTTGAAATAAAAAAATGCAAACCTGAAGTTTTTTTTTTTGCTAAAGCTTTTAGGATACACCTAATAGTAATCTTTGTCCATTAGCATAATCGAAGGGCATTAAAGAATTATGTATTTTACAGGAGGAAAGTCTGAAGCAACCAAAATCAATCAGATTTAACTTAGGTTAGTTTAGGTTTAGGTTTGGTGTCGTTTTTTAACCTTAGCTGGATATTTTGTTCATGTCTGTAACTACTAACACTCACTTTCTTGACTCAATTATTTTAAAAAGAAAAAAGTAGTAGGTACCTACAATTATCAATTGATGGCTAGTAATTACAGTTGTCTATGTAGTGACTAGGAGATACAATTATATTTAATCAAATTAAGTGTTCATCAAGGATTCTCAAAGTCCTTTTAATGCAGTGTTTTATGGAGCCCATACATTTTTGGGGATATTTACAATTTTCCATTTTGTGATTCAAAATTCAGTACAGTTATAAGAACTATCTTCAAAAATTTAAAGTGGTCGGTGAAAAATTGATCTATTTAATGTTTGTTTCCTTCTTAACATTGGCTATTTTTATTCTATAAACCATTCTGTAGTCCTAGTAGGTAAATGTCACAAATTATGACCCAAACTGTCCTAAACTCTCACAAATAGGTTTCATTTTATTTTGACCTCACAAACCAAACATATGTTTGTTTATCATTTTTAGCTTTTTTAAAATCTTCTAAGGAAATTATATGGGATGGCGCCTTCGATTAGATTGAAACAAATTTGGCTAGTTTCGTTAGTTCTATTAGTTATAGAATAAGATATTGTTACGTACTTGGGTTCATAGATAAGTGAGACTACTTTTTCAAACTTAAATAGGTACATTTCATTTAAGACAGTAGCACATCACAACAAAACCAGCGCTACTGCAATAACTACACAAAATTACTTAAATTTAATTAAACTTGACTCCGGTAACGCTCAACAATATTTCGTCATTTTGGTCTGCTAGAATATTCCTTCAAGGACGAATTCCTTAAATATTCCAGTCACTGAGCATACAGGCTCTACTGATGTTACACTAGGGCGACATTTCTTCCACTTAAGATGATTTTTGTTAAAATCTGTATCTGTAAGTTGGGGAGGGTGGTATGCCACAGCACTTAGGCCACATTAGGGCCATTGTGCGCCTCCACTGTTCCTGACTATTTGTTCGGCCGCTATGGTTATGCCAGTAATTTCTGTTTGGAGGACATTTGGCATGGAGCCAAGGTAGCTAGGTTCAGTTTAAGGGCTTTGAAGTATACTCCGCATCCCGAGCCTGTTTCAGTTTTGGATACATCAGTGTAGATGTTACGACGAACATGGTGTTGCAGAGTCTACTCTGGCCTCCAACAATGGAACCGAGTTCGTTGCCTTACGCCATATGCGGGCTCTCTGCAAACCGCGACTTCTGCACTTAGTTCTATTCCAATAGTGCGGAAGCGCATCATTGTGGTTGAAACGACCTCCTTGACATTAGTATCCAGGAGCGTCAAACATAGAATTACTTCCAAAGCCCTAGTTGGTGTGATTTTCATTGCACCAGTTATGTTGAGGCATGTCATTCCTTGAACGTGGTCTAGTTTTCGACTTATAGTAGTTTGTTCAGCCTTATATGTCCCCAGACAATAGCCCCATAGGTAAGCATAGGCCTGATGATGATTGTGTAGATCCACATAACTACCTTGGGAGAGAACCCCCAGATCTTACCGATAATACGTCTACACTGTTCATATGCTTCATGCATTCTCTTAACAATATGGGAGTTCCATGTTAGTTTGCAATCGAGTGTCAATCCCAGATATTTGACCTCGGCGGCAAACCTTAGTTTGGTGTTTCAGAGTCTGGGTGCTGTCGGAAGTACCAGTTTCCTCTTTCTTGTGAATAGGACCATTTCAGTCTTTTTGCGGTTGATGGACAGAGTGTATTCCGTGCACCATCTTTCTATAATTCGAAGAGCACGTTGCATGCGTTCGCAGAGCGAGTTCTCGAATTTACCTCTATGCAAGATGACTATGTCATCCGCGTAAGCTATTGTGTATTGGTTGTCATTGTTTAGGCGGACAATGAGGCTGTCCAGAACCATGTTCCACAGGAGAGGTGATAGCACACCTCCCTGCGGACAGCCTCTTGTGACCATTCCTTTAATGTTGACGTCCTGCACACTTATTTGTACAATTCTTTTGGAAGATATTGAATATCCATCCGGTAACAGTTTCTGGAGTATTCCTTTCTGCTAGCGAGTGACAAATTTTTTGAAAGGTGGTTTTGTCAAAGGCTCCCCAATCTCGACGAAACCCCCGAGGGTGGACTCTCTGTTGTCCAACTATTTTTCCACTCGCCTAGCAACCAGGTGGAGGGCTGTGTCCGTTGATCTCCCGGAGGTGTATGCGCGTTGATTAGGGTGAAGTGGATTGGTTGACAACACTTCATCCCTTATGTACCTTTCGCATAACCTCTCCATTGTTTTTAGAGAAAATGATGAGAGGCTTATGGGGCGATATGCTTTGGGGGTGGTGTAGTCCATCCTCCCTGGTTTGGGTAGGAGCACCATTTTAACTTCTATCCAAGCCTATCCAAGAGTGGCGCCAAACCCCACTGAAGTAGGGCTGGATAGATGCCGTCGGGTCCTGGTGCTTTGAAGGCGGAGAAGCCTGAGATTGCTCAACCTATTTTTTTCCTGTAATATTATCTGATTCGCTAGTTGCCAATCAGCCACAGAGGGTATGTATGTAACCTGCGTCTGATCCGTGGGTTGCTAGTAATAACTCTGTGCTTTCTGGGAGGTTGGCAGTGAAGATGCCACCCTCCTTGCACAGGATACTAATTTCCCGGAATGGTTCTTTATTAAGACCTTTCTGAAGTCTCGCCGCTTCTGTATAGTTTTCTATTTCGTTGCAGTATGTCCTCCAGGCATCTCTTTGTTTTTATCCTACGACTTACTTATACTGGTTGAGTTGGTACCTATAAATCCAGTCCTCAGGTAGTTTGGTGTTTTTAGCTTTATTGAAAGTATTTCTTGTCGTCGCCCTGAGGTGTTCCAGTTCCTGACACCACCAATCAGAGGTGTTACCAGAGTTTTGGGACATCCTCAGTGGGTTTGACATCTTATAGGATGTTATGGTGACAGCTTGGATGGTATTTATTGGCATAACGCTCCAATTCTTGGTCATCATTGGGTGTTTTAACTGCAACCTCTCGTAGAGCCCTTTCCAGATCTTGCACGTACTGTGCAATGTTGGTTTTTCTAGGGTCACGGTAAGGTCTTGTAGTTTCAGGCGAGCAGTTTAGTGTGAAAGTTATCCATCTGTGATCCGATATAGAAACTTCATCAGATACGCGCCAATTATGGATTGAATTTGATATCAATACTGAGTATAGTGTTATATCTATTACAGTTTGACTACGAGAGTTTAAGAAAGTTGTGATTGTGCCGTTATTACACATGAACAGATCATTACTTATTATAAAGTCATACAGTGACTCTTGTACTGTGGTGCAGGTTACACTGAACGAGATTTCCCTTATTAGCCGCTTCCTCAAGTCCAAAATCAACACAAAAAAAAAGTTACTCTTGATTTAATATTGCATGTTCAATTATTTAATTTTGTATAGTTTGCTTCGACTATTCAAATTTAAAATGCTTTTTATCCGCCATTGACTTTGAGAACTCAGTTTTTAGAGTTTTGCACAAAATTTAAAATAGCTTGCTTTTGATGAGGTTTCAGTCAAAGCAAACTGTTTTACCATTAGCTTTTGAAATGTCTTGCATGTGTAGGTAATAATAATTGGACTTTCATATGGCGGACACTTAAAAAAACGAATGAATGTTATTATTAACTGTTTTTAATAAATTTTAGGTTGGTATTGCTGGCGGAGCTACTAGAGCTTCTATAACTCACCACCAAGCAATAAGAGATAATATGGCTGAGGTATCAGCAAAAGATGGCAGTCAGGAAACCATTGTCAATTTGATTGGAAGTTTAGGAAGTATTTTTTTGTTGAATATCATTTCATCCACCAGGTAAGAATAGTTGCTCCTTTTCCCCTTAATATTTTGCTGGCAAGAAATTCCTGCATCGATCAGACCCAGTACGCACGCAAAAGAGGGAATGACCCCGACTCCCTAGTTGAGCGACCCCTGTCGGTTTTTTGCGGTGGTGGGAAGAGGGTAAAGTGAAGTATAATTAACTATGATTTTTTAATATTTTTTTTTTGAGCGACATGTGTATTCAAATAAGTACCTCATCAGTTTTCTCTACAAAATTGCTTCTCGTCACATTCATTATCAAAAACACAACCGTTCACGTGATATATCAAATAAACAGAAATGTATCCACTTTTCGGCTATGGTCCTTGTAGTCGGGGTAATCCCCCCTTTCTACTGTACTAGATCGGATTAACTCCTACCCCTTTTCGGCAGATGCAGTGCCTCAGCGCAAACCTGCCAGGATCGAAAAACAAGCTTAAAGATCATTATTATTTTTCTTCTCTCATACCTTTCAAAGTAAAATCAGTAAGTATAACTATTTATTTTAGTATGGAATGGGTGCTCGTTTTGGTTTTAATGATATTACATTTGTATACCAACTATATGGCAGTGAGGGGTTTGGTATTTGACACTTTGAATGAAGAAAGAATGGCCCTGACGATTAGAAGATATTTCACTACAGGAACTGTTGGATCCCCATCTACAGTTAATGCTCAGGAGTCACTTTTAATTGGATGCGGATTGAATAGTAAGATTTTTCTATTGATATTATCTGGATGTATGAACTTTAAGCATTTTATGTAGATCCAGATGCAGATATGATTTGGAATTATCAAATTCCATTACTGAAATTTCTAGGGGACATCAGTATATGGGGGTTAATTAATAAATAGTAAAGACTGGTTTGAGGGCAATCTCTGGTATTTTCGGAACTATGGGGTTGAATGTCTGTTTTTCTCCTATGCGATGTTGCACTCCTTATAGCCGGAGAGCCAGCGCCAAAAAAATTCTCTGAATTTACTAAAGCCAGTTTTGGTCAGTTGATTACAATATTTACGTACATAAACATACCTCGGTCAGTCAAGCGAAACTTGGGACAAGGACCTCTAGAGTGTCTGGTTAAAGTTGTCGAGATAGCTAGGTAATGCAACGAATTTACTAAGGCTGAAAATCGCTATACATATTATATATAACACATAAATAACAGTGATGTTTGTCAGTCAGTTGAATAGCGGAACTGGGCCGGTCATTCAGCCCTATTGAGGTAGTTCAGCCCCAATTTATGTAAAAAAAATAATAGGTCTATTTTTTTTAGAGTGACAGCGTGACAGTGACAATTCAAAATTGTAGGTTGAAGTTTAAATTAATAGGTTTGTTCAGTAATATTAATATTTTTTGCAGATTTTTACATTTATTGGGGCTAACTGACCAGCACGGTCCCGCTATTCAACTGACTGACTAACACTACTGTTATTTATATGTTATATATAATATGTATAACGATTTTCAGCTTTAGTAAATTCGTTGCATTACCCAAGTTATCTCGACACCTTTAACAAGACACCCTGGGTCCTTGTCCCAAGTTTCGCTTGACTGACCGCGGTATGTTTATGTACGTAAATACTGTAATCAACTGTCCAAAAACTAGCTTTAGTAAATTCAGAGAATTTTTTCGGCGCTGGCTCTTAGACTATTATGATTTTATCACGGCATTAAATAAAGCTGTAAACAAATAAATCTTGTGCGCGTTGTCAAGCTGCCATTGCTCCCAACAGAAATGTTTACCCCTTTCATATAGTATTTTGGCCCTATGACTTTAAGTACCAGAGAAGTCCGCTAATTTACAACTAACGACGATCACTTTCACAAGGATTAGATACCTATATATTATGTATATGTTCATAAAACTGGATTGCATGATTTGAATTTATTGTTTATTAACAATACCAACCTCTGAAATGGTAATAATTTTAAATTTCGATTTTTAGTCAAAGACATATGTGGCTTCAAAATAGTCATGGGTCAGTCGACGAAAAAATTCATGGAATACTGCAGTATCGATAAGGCTCTACTCCTTCAAAAAACATATGAAAATGATTCCTACATTTTGTTTGTGAGCCCTAAAGAAAAAAAAATATATGTCGGACTAGAAAGTTCGGAAAGTGTAAGTGAGAGGCCACTTATCTTACTTTCTGCGTATTTTCATGCTGTCTGTTTGGGTATCGCTTCAAGTATTTTAAATTCAGAGAAACTGGTAAGTACCTAGGTACTTTGAAATCAGTTAATGGATATATAGAAATCAAGTTTATTTCAGACAATCTATCGCAATAGACAGTTACATCTTAAAACCCCGATAACAAGACTGAAGTCTTTTATTGACAATTTTATAAGGCTTGAAGAAACTTCAGCTGACCATATTTTACGTTTGCTAAGTTCTTGGGTGAGACGGGAAGAAAATATGTATTTTACAGCATTGACTACCAGTGGTAAGAAATTATGGAAATAATAATTCTATTATTTTCAGTCTACAGTCAAATCCACCCTTTTGGAAACGTTTTCTATGCTACAAAATAATTTTTGACTAAGTGGATTTTCATTTTGTTTTTCAAACTTCGCATAGACAAATTTTGTAGAGTTTCAGGTTTTGATTGATGAGCTATACTTTATTTTCAGATTGGAATGTCGACTCCCACAACCTCAACGTTGGTGAGTACAGGATGAATTGGAAAAAAGGTGATAAAAATAATTAAAATTTTGTTTTATTTTGTCAAATTTGTTGGGATAAGTATGTATATAAAATAAAAATGGCATTCCAAAACTTGATCAACAATATGTATTTTTAATTACTTTCAAATATTCCATCACATTTTGGTTCTAGGGAAAAAAATTCTTCTAATAATAATAAATAAATAAATAAAATAGACCCTGTATTCTAATCATTACCTGCCTGCAGGTAAACGACTAGCTAACTATAACATAAAGTCAAATTTGACTACTGCTATATCATTAGAAAATTTTTTGTTCAGTGAATAAACAATAGTTTTGCATAAATATTAGGATTTATATCACTTCAAGTGCATAAAAAACATGTTTGTCAATAATTTTATTTTTATTTTTGTCACAAATTAAAACAAAAGATACAAGTTATTGTTTTGAAAAATTTAAGAGTTTTTCATCATTAACACAGGGCTTTGCTATGAGCAATAAATCTTCAACAAAGAAAGTGACTTAAATTGTTGGCATTACAAAAAATTGATTGATGTAATAAAAATACTTAAATTTGTCTTTGTAATTTCAATAAATATTGCCATTTGAATATAGAGGGTGGGCTTAAAAAAACCAGAATTTTGTTTTTGAGCAGTAACTTTTTTTATTGTTGGGCAATTTCCTTTTGTTTAGTTTGTTTAAAAGAGAAATAAACAGGCTAACCATTCAAAGTGAAATTTTTGACATTTGAGAAAAATTCAAAATGGCGGACTTCTTCATAAATTACCTAGTTTTGGATAGCGCTGGAACTTTTTTGTGACCCCCTGTATAACTTTTTCTAATAATTTCTTGAAGTTCGTCACTTGGCGAACATTTTAAGACCTTGACAGGGGTTGAAAACTAAGTGAAATATTGAAATTCTCGTAATATCGAATATCAATTTTTCATATCCAAAACTAGGTAATTTTTGAAGAAGTCCGCCATTTTGAATTTTCCCAAATTTTGAGAGTTTCACTTTGATTCATTAGCCTGTTAAGTTCTCTTTAAACAAGCCAAAACAAGAGGAAATTGCTCAACAACAAAAAGTTACAGCTCAATTTTTTAAGCCCACCCTATATATGTAATCAATAAAAACAGGAGATTCAGCACTTGATATTAGTACCAAAATAGTTGCCAATATTTTTGTTTGGCGTAATAAATTAAAAATATTTTTGAAAGTCGGCCAAAACACTGAACAAAGTTTTAAAATTGTTTTTGAGTCATTACCAAAAATAAAATGAAAATTAGGCGACATCTATCAGAATATTGAAGTTTTTTTTATGTTGTACTTACACGTTTCGTAAACTTTGGCAGGAAATATTACATTATTCACATTCTCTGCACGTGCCGACAGTTATTAATCCTAATCTACTAACTGAGATTTTGAACAGATGTTTTTTACCCATAATAGTTGGAATAAGCTCCAATTCAAATCCTAATTAGTTTATGCACACAAATATAAATTACCAACAACAATTAAAAAAAATTACCTACTTAATAACATACAAATAAATAAATGAAACCTAGTAGTTTAGTTATTTTTAAGATGAACTACCGAGTAATTGTTCGCTGATCTTCATATGGTGTGCTCTTTTTAGCGACATTTCCTGCATGTAAGCCAAGAAACAGCACCACACAAGACTGCAAGCGCTCACAAAAGGCACTCTATTGTGCTCTGGGATGTAGTGGAAGTTGATGGTTTGAAGAATTGGCCAAAAACACACACCTACCTGAAAACACATACACATCTTATTTTTTTTTCTTGACAGTTTTGGATACAAGTTAAAAAAAAATTACCTTCCATGTTGGGTAGAATTTAGTTTCGGTTTGTTTTTTGGCCTCTTCTATAGATTTTCCTTCCAGTAAGCTCATTCCATAAAAGAAACAAATTAGGGCTGCTGGACCATATGTCAATTGTTCCACTAGGGCCTAAAAAAAAAAATTTAGACAAGAAAGAATTATGTACATTACTCACTGAGGAATCTAATTATAGACAAATTAGTTGTATTCCTTTCACACTTAGGAGGAGCTCCGGAACAGCTCCGGGGCGTTACACGCTCATTTTTTTCGAAAAGTGTTTGTTGCACCTGAAGTGCTCAAGCCTCAACTCAAACCATTTAATGCATGAAAGCCAGCGCATCTGTTCCATTCAAATCGGGGTCAACTAACACCGGAACGAGTAGCTCTGGTATTCTTAACTCTTGAAAGGAATGCAACTAAAATATCTACCATAAGTTACCTTAGTAATAGATGTTTTTAAAGATGTAACAGGCCAAAGTTTCGATGAAACTCTTATCCAGGCATAAAGTGTGGGAGCTGTAAAGAGGCCCCCATAAAGGCTGAATCTCAAAGCCTGCACCCAGTCATAATTTTCTATTGTCTTTCCTGCCATCGTTTGTTGAATAAGGCAAGATGTTGGCCAGAGTGTACCTGGTTAACATTAAAAAAATTGATTGCATGCATGTGATTTTTTTTAAGCTTTAAATTAGGTATTAACAATATTAGTGGAGTAAAATCACAATGAAATTATGACTTTGAGTGATTCCGAGTTATAACCAGATGAAACCTATATCATCTTGTAGAGGACACTCTGGGGCATAGGAAATGGGAATGTACAACTTTTTTTAGTAGGACTGAACTTTGAAATCGACCCTTAAACGTGACTGAGCTCGAATTTGAAAAACTACGTTTTTCTAAACATTACCCGCTGTATTAATTAAAGCATACAATCTAAAATTCTGATTTTTTGCACATTTATACTTGAAACATGAGCGCTTCTAATGACAGTTCAGAAATTTCGAAATGGTTTGAGGTTTTTTTGTTAAAAAGTTAGGAATATAGAATTATCAAAATCGTGCATCTAAAACTTCACCCTGCGGCGAGCCATGTGAATTATTGAAAATTTCTATATATATAATTCCATTATTCCTAGTCCAAATAAAGTTAACAGGGTCAAGTATAGGCATAATAGGTACCTATATGACTGGATATCCAAATACGCAGTTGATATATGCACCTGAAATTTTGTTTATCGCATAAATACAGCTTCGTTTGTTATATATACACCTAGCTCAGTAGAGGCTGGTAAAATGCATCATCTGTGGGTAGAAGTTCAGAAGCGGATTTATTGGAAGTTGTGATCAATTGATATCTCAATTCATCGAGGGTTTTTAGGGCCTCGTTCTTATTTCTGAATAGGGCCAATGCAAATTTGGTGGCAATATAAGGTTCCAAGATTTTTAGAAAATACATTTTTTTGCCTTTGCATTTGTGGTATCGCATCCTGATGATACATGCAGCGCTGGTAAACATTTATAAACTTCATATTCCAGTTTCTGCCCTATTTATTGGAATGATCCGTTTTTTATTCCCTTGTCCTAATTCCATAAAAAGGTAGGTTTCTTTCAAAGAACTTACTTCAATAAATTCAGAATAGTGGTAAATAAGTAATACCAGAACATTTGCATCTGCAGACTTCACCAACACTTTTTTTTGGTGAAGTATCTGATATTCATATAAGACGTGGATTATAATAAGTCGTGCATCAGTATCATCATGATTCGATTTCAAATCTTTCAATTCGGTTACACGGTTACACCATCCTTGTTGACAGAAAAGTATAACTCTGGATTTTCAAAATCACCAGCGATGATCAGAGTTTTTTCTATTTGTCAGCTAAATGTTCCAAAATATAACCAGTTACAAATTTCAATAGGGATTCTTCATTTTCTGACAATTTTAAAAAATTCCGAAACTTCATCACTTTTCTCTTTCCAGAAACTTCATACGCATACGTATCTGCGAAGTTACTTCTTCTGCGTCTGTCCAAAGACTTGACCGATTCATCTATTAAAAACCACTGTTATCCTCAGTGCTTCATACCTTCGACCAAGTGAAAGAATTTGCTTCAGAAAAATACATGCGAGTTCATTAAAAGTTAAGTTGAAAATGCTTTATCATTTAGTCCTTGAATAAGTACCATGCCATCTATTATGAGTGAATTGAAGGGGGTGTGACCCAAAAATGAAGTTTCAGTGCGAAAAAATCTAAGAACAAATATTTGAACCGCATCTTGCTACGATGAACCGTTTTCGAGTATAAGGGTGGTTCAAAGTGACAAACGCCTAGGCTGTGACGTCACACTGGCTTCGGAGGCACAGTTAAAATATGTGTAAAATTTTCCAAGACAAAAGTCAACGATCTCACTTAAAGCAAATTGCAACCACTTAAAGTATAGGGCACGGTTCAACCACTGAACAAACAGAAGGCTATGATTTCGGCGGTTAGCCGGTGTGACGTCACAAGTTCCCGCAAAATTTATTTTCATGAAGAATTTTCTCGGATAGTATGTTGAATGAAAGACTGCGGATTCCACGGGAGATCTTAGATTTTTTTTCTTGATTTAAGTAGCTTAAGTTGCTTCTTTTATTCACACCCTTGTTTAAAATCAGTTCGAAGAGAAGCAACTGTTGAATATGGTTCAAACTTTGATAATAAATCAGACTTAGCTGTTTTTCGCATAGGAACGCACAAAACTGGAAAAGTCAGAAAATGCACCTCTCGGTGAATGCACGAATAATTCCGTCGCGACGTGGTTCACGATGGGCTGAGCGCGCTCCAGGGCGCATTTTTGTATCGAGCGTCCAGCAACCCGCATTCGGGGTACCCGACCTCGGCACGTATCAAGCGCACGGTAGTACGAAAATCACTCGGACTACCGTATGCTCGATACTCGCGACTCGCGCCTACAGTCTCGAATATCTTTTTGAGTTTTCCTGGCTCCTCACCATCAAGCTACTTGATAATATGTATTAGTTTAATTTTGGTTCTGGTAGTCAAATCGTAAAGCAATTTTAATTCTAGTAGTTCACTAAGTGGAATGGAAAGTAGCAAAAAACTTAAAGATTAATAAGATTTTGCTATTTGCCTAGTTATTTGATGCTGTCTCTAACAAACTATCCCAAACTAACCCTAAGGCTGTCCTTACCTTAACCTTTTGCTCAGCTCCAATTTGGGTTTGTTTTGGTTAGTTTTGTTACTTAGAGACAGCATCATAAATAATTATTTACATCTGCCTGAATCTAATCTCCGCATTTGTCAAATAACGTATACCTGCAGGGCCATATTCTCCGTAGTTCATAAAGCTTGGCTTAGTGGAAAAGCTCGGCTTTGTCACACAAAAAGCCAAGCGTTTCCACTAAGCCAAGCTTTATAAACTACGGGGAATATGGCCCTAAGTAAATAGCAAAAATCTTGTTAATTTTTACCTGCTTTAAAAATTCGATTTTTAAATCGTTCTAACATATTTCAAAAAATAGGCGTTTTTTTTTTGGAGAAAAAAGTATACAGATGATAATGTCATTGGAAGAATGGCTAACACAATAATAATTCAAAATGTTTTCGAAAAAACGTGAAAGTGGCCTATCCTATCTCGCCATGGTATTCTATTCATGGTAAGGTTATGTAGATAAAACATAATTTTGCTCTTACTTATTCCCTTACCTCGACTTCCTGCTTAGTCTTGAAATTAGTTCGTATTTCGCTGGAATCGACAATGTGGTACATATAATTTTCTGGCCAGTGCATAATAAATGATAAACAATAAAAAAAAAAAAAAACTGAATTGTTGGACGCCGATCCATAATTTCACACAGACTAGTATCAAGCGTACGGTAGCTTGACAATCGATTGGGAAATCAGACGCTCGTTATGAGACAGGCCTCGGTTAATACGACGTTACCCGAATGCGGTATACTGGGCGCTCGATACAAAAATGCCTCCAGGGCTCTTGGATAAAAATTTATATTTCTATAACCGTTAAAGTTAGCACCTTAATTTTTTTTTTAAAAACTTCGTCTATGTTTTTACCACATTTGATTCGATATATATGTATAGAAATTTTCAATAATACACATTGCTCGCCGCAGGGTGAAGTTTGAGATGCACGATTTTGATAATTCTATATTCCTAACTTTTTAACAAAAAAACCTTGAGCCTTTTCGAAATTTCTGAACTGTCAGAAGCGCTCATGTTTCAAGTATAAGTGTGCAAAAAATCAGAATTTTAGATTGTATGCTTAAATTAATACAGCAGGTATTGTTCAGAAAAACATAGTTTTTCAAATTCGAGCTCAGTCACGTTTAAGGGCCGATTTCAAAGTTCAGTCCTATTAAAAAAAGTTGCACATTCCCATTTTCTATGCCCCAAAGTGTCCTCTACAAGATGATATAGGTTTCATCTGGTTATACCTCGGAATCACCCACCCTCAGAAAACAGCGAGTTAGAGCAGTGATTTTATTCCACTAAATAAGGTAGGTATTATAATAGATTGAGAAGTAGTAGGTAGTAAATAATATTTATGCACCAATATTCATAATATACTTAGTATCCTTACCATATGATATCATTCCTCGAAAAACAGGATGTCTGTTGACAAAGGCAGCAAATCTTGAAAAAATCACCATTTTTGTACTTTAACTTCACCCCGTTTATATTTGCAATAAAAATTCTTTGGCACAAGAATTAATTACTATAGGAACTTTTTAACTAATGATGTACACAACAGTTGACTAGGACCTCTGAGATTATGACTGACTATTGAGTCTGAAGGTTCACTGAGATTATGCACGCCAGATTGTAGAGCATAACTAATCTTTGCTACGCGATTTAACATGATTGTGCAAATTGTAACTTTGCCAATTTAATAAGTTAAGCTGTATTGTGATTGTGATGTTAATACAAAGCTTTCACTTTGACCTTTGGATAGTGGGTTTTGCGTCTTTGTTTTATTACGTAACGATTTTCCCTTGAAACATCTAAAAACACCCTTTTACCAGAATCTTCTTCTATAAAACTGTTAAAAAAAAGACAGACAATGTCAGCTGATGATTGGATTTGGTTTTACGTCATAATATCAGGGACGGGATGAATGAATGAATTTGAATGAATTTTTTTTTTGTAGGTTGCGTTGCCAGTAGCGTTAATAGTCCGGGAGCACTGATTCATTAATTTACACATAATATTATAGGTACCTATTATATTAAAAAAAAAACATTTAGCAGAAATTCTAAAAATATTAGAAAATATTCAATTTACATAATAATTTCGATTTGGAAAATACCTTCAAAAATCCAATTTAGCCCTACGAAATAATATTACCAAGAATTATTGCAGAACTGGCGTCTTTGATTAGACATAGACATTAGACATGATGAAGAAAAAAAATCTTTATTGATGCCAGATACAAAAAAAGTATTTACACAAGTCAAAAAGTAGAGTTATACATATTAAAAAATACGGCTACAAAAAAATGTTTATGAAACAGCCGAGGAGGCAATTGAAAAATAGAACTAATAAAATGTTAACAAACAAACATACATTACATTCAAGTCACATTAAAATTAGAAAAAATTTAATACATTTTAATGGCAAACCTCTTATTATTTCACTGGGTAATCTGTTAAAAATCTTAACTGCCAGAAATTCAAGGCGGTTCTGACACCTTTCCAGACGACACAGAGCCGGAACCAATCAGATCATTACGATTTCTTGTTTGATGGTCATGCAGGTCGGAGTGGGATATGATATGAAGTTTCATTCATCTTTACATAGACAATGCACTCAAGAATAAATACTGACGGGAAAGTCATTATCAAAAGCCAACCTGCTGCCATCCCTATACCCCAATCCAGTAAGCACCCTTACAGCTTTACGCTGAAGTCCGAAAACTCTAGTCGCCAAAGGCGCACTGCCCCAAGCAATAATGCCATATGACATCAGTGAATGGAACAGCCCGTAGTAGGCAGTCTTGAGGGTCTGTTTCGACCAATGAACTATAACCAAAAACTGGAATGCTAACAGATAAAAGGACGAACTTGAAGCCTAGTGCGGCTGCTGCGGAGGGGATACCTGTTTTTGTCGCACTCATTATGTTAAATGGCGAAAATTGCTTCCAACACGTATTCCAATTGATGAAACCTGTGAAGGGAAATATGACAAAACTTTCGAAAACCTCATATGTCAGCGAGCAACAGAAAAAAACAACATTCCCCGTTGTGGCATCTGTCTTTCATGGCTACATTTTTTTGGCAGATATGGCAATGTGTGCGCATTCGCCGCATTCCAGTTTTTAGCTATAGTTCATTGGTTTCGACACACAGCCATACAGGTTACGAAGCAGAAAGACAGTGGTACTCAGCCTACCCGACACTCTCTCAACCTGGACATCCCATCTTAACTCAGGATCCATGTAGATTCCCAAGAATTTCACCTCAGTTGAATTGGGACTGTTATCAGTATCCCTCAGCGAAAATATCATCTTATGGGTCTTGCTCCGATTCAGAATAAGTCTGTTGGCATTGAACCAATTTTCAGCCCTCGACTGAGCCACCACAGCCCCCTCCTCAACATCCTTCAATCTGCCGCCCCCTAGGAAAATGTTGGTGTCATCAGCAAAAAGGGCGTAGCTGATCGCACCCTCGGTTGGTGGTGAATCATTTATAAAAATGAGAAAAAGGGCAGGGCCAAAAACAGAACCCTGTGCCACCCCACATCAATCTCCCTTTCCGCTGATGACACTGAGCCGACTCTCAGCAGGGCCGGCCCTACCATAAGGCGAACTGAGCGAGCGCTCCAGGCGCCAGACCTCGGGGGGCGCCTTCGACTCGTTCCTTGGTAAAACAAAAAAAGGGAAAAGTATATTTTCGCTTTGAATTCTGTCTCTGCTTTTCGATATCATGCTTCCACAGCATATACAAAAACAATCAGCAGGCTAACTTGAGTGATAGCCCGTGTAATAGAGGAATTCATCGTCAAAATGTCAATAGCGGCCATTTTGGGATACGAAACAGGGCCTGATTAACGATAATTTAGGTTTTTTCTTTCCTGTGACAGAGTCGTATTGGCTTTAAATAAACTAATTTATTATTACTTACATATAATAATGTTTATAATTACTAATTTATTATTATTATTGAATATACAAGAATAATAACAGATAACACCATAAATGACAACACGAATATATCAAAATCGTTTTAAAAATCATAGCTAAAATTCCGCTCTACACCGCACGCCTATGACCTCCGTCAGAAATAAACAAATAAAATAAAATTTCGGCGCTCCTGCCGTTTAATGACCGCGTTATGACAAAATGGTATCCCCTGATGGCGGCCTGCGCAGAAAAGATGCGCGTGAGAGTTAGCCTGCTGATTGTTTTTGTATATGCTGTGATGCTTCTCTACTTGTGAGCAAGCTTGTGCTTACTTAGTATGAGAATAACCTGTCCTGACGTTTTTTTTGGGACGCGCACGGATCGTGGGTGTGGTGGCGCCCTTACCCGATCATTTGATCACGATATTTTGGATAGTGATAACAGTCACTCGAAAGCAGTCCTTCAGGCGTTAGCATTTAATAATTGGCAAGATACGTTTCCTTATATCTGGACAGCTCTCCGTATTTTTGTTACCATTCCTGTTACAGTGCCGAAAGGTGAACGGAGCTTTAGTAAGCTTAAGGGCGGGTATTATAAAACTGCTTTGAAAGTTAACTTGAAGTTAACTTTTTGAATTACATGTAATTCCAGTTGTTCGATTTTTATATTTATTACGCCCGGTTTATTTATATTCGGATAAACAACCAATGGAATTAGAGATTGCATTTTTATCGGTCGGTCAGATTGCATACCTGACAGTTTATCAGAAGGTGAATAAACCGGCCCTAATGGCCGTTTCCACAAACTAGAAAGTTCTCGTGCGTCAGATGCTACGCTAATACGGTACCTACCGCTAACAATACGGTATTTTACATGGTACCTATATTATAGTTCTCGAGCACGAAGACACATAAATCCTCTAATCCCTTATTCTGTTTACATTTTGACAGCTGAGTTGAGTAATCTAACCCCACTTTTTTTGCTTGTTTTCTAACTTTTATTTATTCTGAAGATTCCTGAGCTTGAATAATTTTCCCTTGGTGTTTTTTATGGAGGAATTATTAGAAGTTGCTGTTTTTGCAGACATAAATGGAGCGTAAACTAGTTTTGGCAGAGCATAGCGTTACAGTAAGGCATCCGGTAAGTTCCGTTAAATAGCGGGCTCCGCTAACGCTTATACCGTAACAACTGTCATACTTGTCAAGCGTTGTCAGCGTTACGGTATTTGAAATTTGAACGGCCCAAGAACTCTCTACTATTACGATAAGTATTTCCTAAACTGACATTTCTCCATGGAAAACTACGTCAGTCTAGGGAATACTTATCGTTTAAGGCTTCCCGAAAATAACTAGTTGGTGGAAATGGCCATAAGTGTTATAAGTGATATTACCAAAGTGGATTATTGATTGATCCCATCAAAGAATGTGAACTAAATGTTAGTAAATAAGAGAACTTTGTACCAACGAACAGAAATGTTTTGAATTTTCAATTGGTAAGATAAATAGAGACATTGAGCTTTTGTTTGTTCCAACCCAGCAGGAAACCGTAATATTATCGTCAGGATTCTGCGCAAAACCTAAAATTTTTGCATAGAAACTGAAATTCGTATACAGAGTAGTTCCTAAACCGTTCTGGGACGTTTTTTTGACGGGTTGGAACAAACCTATTAAATTAGATAATGGTCAAAATCCATACTCGCGTATGCGAATCACATTTAAACTAGGGGCGCCAAAGTCAGATCTCGCTCCATACTAAAAGTAGCCTCGGGCCGGCACTGACTCTCAGAATCTGGCTATGACCGGTAGACAGAACGGGCAGCAAAGAAATTGGACACGTCAGCATCTTCTCCCTTTTTATAAATGGGAGTTACTAGAGCTCTCTCAAATACTTTTGGAAACACACACTCTCTAAAGCAGAGATTAATCAACTTTGTCGACGGCACAAGTACAATGTTTTCAACTGTTTTTAATAAGCGAACAGACAGGCCTATATCATTATATATCATGAGGCTAAAGAAAAAAGTCAAAGTACATTATACATTTTACTATTACTGCTATTTAATGTCACCTATGTTTGTTTTCAAATAAAACATTAATAACAATGTCAAATGTCAATAGGTATGTAACTAATACCTTTATTATCTTTTTTACTTACTAGAATGCCTACTAGTTACAAACTGACATATTTGGCAATCTGGTTTTCATTTTGGCAAAAAAAGTTAGCCCCATAGGTAGGTATTTGCATTAATCAAACGTTGTGGATTTTGGTTAATATATCAGGGCTACCATACTCTCCCCATATTGTCATATAGGCACCCTTGTGAAATAAAAAATTGAATGGATATTATAATGTACAAAAAAAGCGCTCTTGGTGTGACGTCAGAGGCTACCATAAAACCAGCGGTTTCCTCCACGTTCACCTGCTAAAAAGGGCCTTCAGTTAGTTTCGTAATTTTCCTTGAATTTGCTTACTGCGTGTTTATTAATTACTCGTGTTTCGGCTTAGGTATGGTATAATTTTTGAAGTGCCTAAGCAAATTGGGGGAATCGGAGAAGTAAAGGCCGAATTTGCCCCATCTATGTTACCAGATGCTATTTCCACAGAATTTGTTGTGGAAATGAAACGCCCAACAAATGTGAACTCATTGCCACTTTACATAAAAAAACTATAAAATTACAAATAAATGTAACGCACAAATTCAGTCAGGGTTGTTAATGTCGCAGAAAAATTGAATTTACTATGTATTGTCACATACTACGTCGCAAAAGTAGTAAATGTAGTAGATGTCTTATACATAATAAATGCATAATATTAATGAGTCATCATGCTAGAAAGGCTATTTTTTAATTGGTCCTCTGTCCACTCTTCTTTAAGTAACAGATCATCTCAGGAGTAACAGGAATTCTCAAAATCAATGTACATCAGTACTTACATCACATATATTAGGTCTGTTCCAACAAGCCAAAAACCG